GCCACCTCACATCCCACCTTCCTGATGGACTGGTGGCTCCTGTACTCCAGCACTGTGGTGCCCATGCTGCAGGAGCAGTACGGAGACCAGCCTTTCCACTCCGGATGTGTGGAGGTAAATGAACATGGATTAAATTGTTTAAATTTTACCTGCACACCTGCAGTTAAATTCAGTATTTTTTGCCAGATTTTCCCTTTTTTTTTTTTTAGAATGATTATTTAGTATTACATTCACTGGGCTAGCTTGCAAAAGAATGAATATAATTCAAGTAAATGATAATCAAATAGCTTCTCTTGATCTCCAAAGTGTCACATAACCAACTTTTTACAGCTTCCAACTTCGCTGACCATCAACATGCTGACCATGGTTTCCTGATTATCAGGCTCGACAAAAAACAAGATGTTTTCTTAATTGTGGTGCTTGCATGGCGAATTCAGGAATACATATATATTGAAATACAGTATGCTAAACGTAAGTGTTAAGTTTAATTTGTATAACTCTTTTCTGTCTTCCTATTCGTCTCATAAAGTTCCCGTACAGTGACGTGGTCACTTGTGAGAGTGGACAGGTACGGAGAAGACGGTTTGGTTTTTGTAGTTTAGCTGTAACAACAACTTGTTGGCACCTGGTTTAATGCTATTACTACTCTCCCTCTAAAATCCGAGCTTTCGTGTGTGTTTGCCTGTGGCCATTAATTTGGAAAGGCAAGTTCAATGCTTTTAAAAAGCAATAAGCGCAAATGCTGTGGTCTGTGCTGTCATTCATTTTCTGTTTTCCTGCTGTTCTCTTCTCTTTGCGCTCAGGGCGAGAGCAGCTCTTTGTATGCACAGGCACACCAGCCCCTGATGTCCTCAGAAGAACGGAAGCAGAAATGGGAGCAAGGTCAGGCCGACTACATGGGAATGGACTCGTTTGACAATATCAAGAGAAAGCTTGATGTTTTTCTCAAATAAAGAAGGAAAGATGCAGGATATCAAAAGAGCACTTGCAGTTTAACAGACTGTCACCACAGGTCTTTCGAGAAAATACTGCACAACAGGTTGCCGTCTTCCTTCCTACCTGTCTCTCAGCTAGAAATGAGCCGAGTCTTTCCCTCCACCAGCACTACCCCCTTACCCCCCCACCCCCACAAACTCCAAAGACAGTGCAATTTAAATGGAAAAAAGTAAAAATATAATGAACGGCTTTAATTGTCTATGCAAGATGGTGTTTATTCAGTTTACCCTGTAACAGTTATCTGTTCTACACTGTGAAGAGAATCAGGATACATAAATGTACTTATGAAAACCTTAGCAATATTTTTACATGTCAGTGCTCTTTTTGTATAAAGGAGATGGCAACAAGAGTTCAACTGGGCCTTTTGTATCAGTGTGACTAAGATTTACAGTCACTTACATGTACATTCTTCATTTTTTTTTCATCTTTTTTTTCTTTTCTTTTTTACTATGCCGTCACCTAACAGTCTTCTTAATGTTTTCTTTTTTTTCCTCAAAAGTTTATTTCTCTTGTTTTTTTGAATTGAAACAGCCTCTGTTTAACATAGATATACGAACATGTTTACAGCGCTTCTAAAGGCCATAGTGTGGCTATATTCATGTACACATGTAGATCCTTAGTGCCTTAGTGTCTTGCTCTCTCTACTGCCACCATCCTGTCATTTCTTGACCTGCGGCTTTTCTGTAGATGACTTGGTTTTTGACTTTACTGCAATTTACTTGATCGGGATGTTGGCTGTAACACAAAACCTTTCTTCTGGAAACATTAAAAACGTCATTGAAAGTTTTGGATTTGCTTCAGTGGTTTTTCTTCGAAATCTATGATTCTTGCTGGAACTATAATTGCCTAAGTGAGTTTGCTCATTCTGTCTGGTTAGGAATTATCTATAAAAACGCCATCCAGTTTTTGCAAAGAAATGAAGACAGATAATATTTGCTAAATCAGACTGTAAAGGGGCCATGGTTTTTTTTTTTTGTTTGTATGTACAGTGTTAAGAACTAAAGAAACCTACTGAATTGAGCTACTCCTATACAAGTCCTTTGATCCAGATTCTATTGGTTAATGTACTCACAAGCAAGTTTCTTTTGACGCACGAAGTTTCACTTTCACTACAAATGAACTTAACAGATTAACCGATAAATGTAACATAATAACAGTACAAGGATTACTGGGTGAGAATTTTAAAAAGGACCTACAATGAAACACAAGCGGAAATCAAGTTCCACAATGTAGAACAATACAAAACACAAATGCTAGGAGGGGAAAAAAGTCAAATGTAACTTAAAATGGGTAACGTAACATTGCAAACACAACATAATTCATCTGCCAATGATGATGTTTCTCAAGAGATTAGTTGTCTTAAAGCTTTTTCATTTTAACCCAATGGACAGAATCGGAGTAGTTTAAGTTTAAAAATAAATGTTGGGGGAAAAATTGGGGAAAAAAACTATCGACGTGTATATAATATTTGTACAGAAGACAACAAATTTATCAGTTTCTAGTTGTTGTTGGTTTCTGTATTCAGATATAAAAACATGTTTTCTGTAATAGTGACCAAGACATATCGAGACTCAAGAGACTTGAACGATTACAATCATAAAATAAATGAGAAATTACTTAAAGGGGAAACTTCAGGTCTAGAATTGCGAATGTATTGATTGAATGGATAGAATCTGAGCAAAATTTTAATATGAATCTATTGAACCTTTTGGGGGGACACAATGAAATCTACTAAATTCTGATATTCAAATATTCTTGCTGGGCTTCAAGGTGACGAGGTGGTTAGCACCGCGTCCCTGTGAGGACACCTGGGATCTTTCTGCGTGGAGTTTGCATGTTCTCCCATGCAGCATGGGTTCTCTCTGAGTTCTCTGGCTTCCTCCCACACAGTCCAAAAACATATTGAGGTTAATTGGTGATTCTAAATTGTCTGTAGGTGTGAATGTGAGTGTGCTTGGTTGTCTGTCTCTAAATGTAGCCCTGTGATACACTGGTGACCTGTCCACTCCACTTGGAGGACACGTTACCTACATGGTTCCACATCTGCACAGTAGGTGGACGTCTAAGCGTTCCACACATGTAGACTATGGAGTCAAAAGTACCATGAATTGCCTCTTCTTTGTCGTGGAAACTGTTTCTGCCTACCACATTTACTGAATTATTAAACCGAGCTGGTCTTGAGAGCAACTAAAAATTGCCACAGAATGCATTAACTGAAACAAAATTCTTTTCCCTGCCCAAAGTGCGTCATCGGCCCACCAGTGTACCAATAATTCCCCTCTTGTTCAGGAGCTGCATGTCATTTTTATATCAAAACCTCGTGTAATCTCTGTTCAGCCTATCTTGTGTCCTGGTCATTGTGGCCTTGCACAATGACTACTGAGCAGGTTAAGTGCTGCAGTACAAACCAATCCTGTCAAAGCTGTGTTGGACAGTTAACTTTTGGACCTGCCTCAAAAGTACGATTTTCAACCTTATGATTATTTACCATCATTATATTTGCATTAGATTAGATTAAACTTCATTGTCATTGCACAGAATACAGATGAAGACAACGAAATGCAGTTTGGCATCTGACCAGAAGTGCAAAAGAAGCTGTCAAAGTGCAGTGCAATGCAAAAATGTTGAGGTGGAACACCTTTAAGGGTAACATGAATGTGTTAAGATATATATACTATGAAGAGTTCATGTAAATGTGGACAACAGATGAATATCCATGATGTAATATGTATAGACTAGTATGTGTAATATGGCTGCATTTGGTGTGCTACAGTAATAACAGAATAAACAATATGAACAGAATGGTAGGAACACCAAGTAGTAAGTAAATAGAATAAGCCGTAGGTGTGACAGACAAATAATACAAAGATTAAACAAAACAAAAAAAAGAAGTAAATATTTGGATTGAGATAAATGACACTATGAACAGCATAAACAGTATGAACAGTGGATATGAAATGCAATCTTATGTGATT